GGCCGAGTTGATTTGTGGCCGAGTTGACTTGTGGCCGAGTTGACTGTGGCCGAGTTGACTTGTGGCCGAGTTGACCTGCACCCAATTTATAGGCCTATGACGGTATTGCATATTAAACAATTTATGTTTTTTTTTTTCAAGGTTCTGTAATGTTGCTCTTCATTTTTAAATTCGAACTGTTTCGAACAGCCTCAGCCGAGGCAGGGACGGATTCAAGAAGTCGGCGGGCGCCCTAAATATGAAAATAACGGAGAAATAATCAGTATTAAAATTTAAGTCTGTCATCTAGACAAGTGGTTTCCAACCAATTTGGGGCCCCCCAAGTCGAAAGTGTCTCCGAGGTCTGCGAAAAATTTGGGAGTTCACTAAGATCTCAGACCAATTTTTCATGATTTAAAGTATTTTTCTTAACCAGTGTGATAAACATATTTTTACTGCTAATGCTTTGTCAATACTGAAATACCTTAGATAGGGCTCAGACGGGGGCACAGACAGTTCATAAATTGTTTTAAACACTATCAATTCCAATATTTTATTAGTGGTCTGTTAGAATCTTTATATTTGATTTTTATGGGTGCCTGCTTTATGTAAACGGATGTTTAGGCCAACTGAAGGAGAGCCCCCGTAATCTTGTTCGCATGTTTTCTCTTGTGTATTACTTTTACCTGGATATTTAATAAATTTGAAACATCAGGAAGGAGTCCTAACTTTCACAAAATTAAAAATAACAGAATAGCATTCAAATTTTTGAGTTTGACGCCATGTAGATTTCCGGCCATCAGAAGTGCCATATAACAAACATAAACCGATGGTGGGGCTGACCGGGTAGTGTCGACCACATCTCTGTAAAAAAATTACTTGAGAGCTTTCCGAATTCCAGGATCCCCCACTGTTTAATGTTGTCACTTTTGTGGCGAATCATCTCTAGGCCTATATTATTGTTGGGATGTGGACAATTGGTATAGGCCTACTTAGACATGGGGTCCGTGAACATTTTTTGACATGTCCCGAGGCCAGGTCCGCGAATGCAAAAGGGTTGGGAAACCATTAATCTAAGGCCCCATAAAAAATTATTAGTTTATCACCTTATCAAAGAATAAAAACTGATGAGGGAGGGAGGTTTTTTTTTCTATATATAGTCATAAGAGTGGAATCAAATTTATATTTAAAAAATATGTTTTTGTTGTACCAGTAAACATATTCGCAAGAAATCCTGAGCTTTTCAAGTGAAAAAAGATGGAAAAAGAACCGTTTGAAATACAAACAGGACATTTCAAATAGACACTACCCATATACAAATTAGGTCACTATAATGTCCTTACAGTTGTTATAGGCTATGACCATTTATAAGTTTCTTTACGTCAGGCATTAAAGCTAGCTCGATATAATGAAGTTGGTAAGATTTCTTTTCTGGAATAGACAATAATTCAACGATAACCTTTTATTTTATATTGCACGCAAGTTTTAAGCAATTAAAGGTTTTCTTTAAGTGCGCCCTCTATCGACAAAATTAAGTATGTACTTTTCGAGGACAAGTAGTGGACTGTTAGTGATAATACATTGAATTGTACACATTGCCTTTCTGGGAATTGGCAAATTGTTAGTAGCTTAATGAGTATTTTTGTATAGTTTAATGTATTTAAATATTTCTCCTAATTAAATACGCGAAACAAAGTCACTTAATGTCACATAAGTGGGGACTAAGGCTGTATGAACGTACATTATAAGTGCCTTTACATTAGGAGGACAATTGCGATATTTGTTCTTACGGAAACCTTAAACCAAACGCTCAGTGATAAATTTGTATAAATTCAGCGTAATAAAATACAGCATGGCCATGGTCATCGACTTCAACAATTAATATGTTTAGCTTGTAGCTTCAAAAATATAGTAGCGAGTATGTGACCGCTATACGAATATGGGTGTGATTCGTAATACCATGTAATATATCCATGTTTCACTACTATCGTTTCCTCTTACCAAGGGTGCAGACCTGTTTTAGAAGGTATAGTAGGGGTTGGGGGTCGTGAGAAAATTTGAGCAAATTGTACCTCTAGATGGCCGGAAATAACATTCTTATATAGTAAAATTAATCATCACCATATCACCATTATAATCAAAATCAATCTTATCCTTACACGCTTTTTCTCATACTTTTCAAATTATAATGAAGGCATGCACACTCAAACCATGTATTATGATGTTTGTGAGCAGATCTTGCTAAAAGATCTAGTCTGGCTGTACAGTGCTCTTTCCTTTAACATGGGTCATTTATGCAGTTCACTTCAACAATTTTCAGACATCTTTGTGACTTACGAAATCACATTGCGGTCAAAAAGTGGGGGAACCAATCTCCTTAAAAATATGTGGAAGGGCATGTCCCCAGTCCCCCATGACCTGCGCCATGCCACTTACCAGTGGCAGCGCCAGCACTGGCCAGGGGAAATCCCGCATCGGTCAAACAGCCATGTCGTTGGACGCAACATGAGGTTTGTTTTAAAATATTAATTCGCCCATCTAAGCAGTCTTATATTGTAATCTAAAAATAGTTGTTTTCCACCTAAACTACAATTTGGCGCAGCGAGAATAGTTTGGTTTTCCAACCTTGATGCCGGGGGTGAATTTGTTTATTTAAAAACCAAAAAATAATATCATTATTTGGCTTATAATTATTATTAATATTATTACTAGCATTATGTAACAAAAACTAAAAAACATTCAAACCATTATTATTGCATAATTGATGGGTTTTATTGCAAAAAATTATGAGCAACTGGGAATGATTATCTTAAAATCATGTGCTCATGTTCTTCCAATTTTTAAATCAACATCTTTTTAAAAGAAATTTTATCATTTTAGAAACATACAGTAACAGATATATTTACAAAACAAAGTTATCTTAACAGTTTACTTTCAATTTTTGCACATAATTACCCTGGAAATTAAATCTCAGTTATTTTAGTGATTACCTCACATGAGCATATGGAAAAAAAAAAAGTACCCTAATTTTTGAAAGCTTTTTCACAAATTGAATAATTAAAATAGTACAAAATCATTCCAGTGCACACATGATTATTACTTTTGAACAACAGGTATCACATTAAATGCATTCCAATGCAAATCAGATTACACATGCATGAATATTTCATTACGTACGCTAGTGATGGTCCAAATATTATCCAAAGATCCATAATCGGCACCTTAATAACTATATATGCATAGACACTGAACTTATGATTATAAACTTTGATTGATATTTACTGTTTTAGAAGTGTAGGCTATAATTCATTCTAACAATTTTGTAATTGTTTTTAAGAAGTTATCGGGTGCAGATCCATTAGGGAGCATGGGGAATGTGCTCCTCCCACCCCCACCTTGCCACTAAATTTTAAAATTTCAATATATATAAATTATTGAAATTAGAGCTACTCACTTAACTCTTTTGAAAATGTTGCGCCCCCGTTTGAAAAATTCTGGATTCATCCCTGGTAATATTATTAAGCAAACAATGTACCATAGTGTCAGCAAATAATAATTTCAAAATAAATTAGTATTGAAAAACTAAAAAATAAAAAAAACCCCAGATTTTTATATTTTGTGTACCCTCGCAATGGTTCCATTCAAAATAGGTCGGTCAATGAACTCTACTGTACAGCTTCCTTCTGTACTACAGGGGGCGCTTTCCAGCTCAAACAAAACGATTACATTCCCTGTGACCTTCAGTATTGTTGCAGGAACATAGAGAGTGACTTGTGGGCCCTCTACAGGCCAGTACCGGCCAAGATTGAAGCCATTGATGTACGCCTGTCCCTGAAAAATAATGTAAATATAACAGAAGATACACACCAGACAGTGGACAATTTACAAGAATCTTTTTATGCTAAACTTTTTGTGGTTGCAATCTTATAAAGAAAATTTTTGAAAAGATTATTTCCAATTACTTTGCTAGTACAATACTGTATATATTTTTGTGAGAAGGAAAATCATTCAAATGTTTGTACTTTATCTTAACTTTTCTTAAACAGTAGAAAGCTAATAATATATTCCTTGCCAATTTTAATATTATATTATACTATTAAAAATAATAAATTTAAGAAGTAAACTAATCTGTTAAAAACTGAATTGGTTTGGTCTGTGTGCCATTGGATTTGGGGAAATTCAATTTTTTTTTTAAATTACAATTTTGAAAGGTTTTATAAATTTCACCACAGACAGCAAACAGATCTTTAAAAAATACCTGAATGAATATTTTATAAGTAATAGCAACTAACTTTCACAAAATAAAAGCAGACACTTTTCCAATTTCATAAGGTTTTGCCATACATTCAACTCTTCAAATAAATACACTAATACTTACTTTAGTCCAGCCTGACATTTTCAAAAATGTATCCCTTGGTTCAGAGATATCTGGTGGAAGATTAGGCATTGTGCCACTGTACAGTGTAGGAACATTCAGCTGTGTCTGGGGACTAGACCAGGTCAGTGTACTTTCTGGGATTAAATTTGGTGAGATCTTTGGTACAAATTCATCAAGTTGAAGTGAAGAGATATTAAAGCCCTCTAGAATTGTGCCTCCTAATGTTATATTTCCAATTATTCCCTGCAGTGTAAAAACAAAATATATGTTACCAAAATATTATTTGTAAGACTGAATAAATAAATTTTAAAAATGGACAAAAACACATTGTACCCAGAACCAAGACTATCTAATTACAAATTGGTTACTTTACCAACTGAGTCATTAGATTTCAACATATACATAGAAAATATCTTTTTGATAATAAAAGTATTGTACTCATCGGACACATTTTTCCCCCTAAGCATCTTGACATTGGTATATGTTGTAGCTGTTGCATCAACCTATTCACTGCTGTTATGGCCATATATGATATATATTTCAATTACCATAATATATCTTGACATAAATGTATTAGAAATAGTATAGAAGTCCGACTATCAGGTGTAAGGTACATTACAGTTATTAACTTTGATGAAGGGTTCAATGGAACAAGGTCATTTATCCATTTATGGGTTACACGATGAATTTCAAATTCAAATATTTATTCTCTTTTTTTTTCAAGTGATAGCACTTTCAGTGATGCAGCACTGGTAACATAGTCAGAAATGCAAATCAGAATTAAAATCAAATGAAATTACCATTTTGCATCACTGCATTAATTTTGCATCATGGCAAGACAACATTACTTTGCAGTGGAAATGAATAAAAATATTATAGATTTTTGATTAAGTTTTTTAAATGTAGTCAGTTGAATATCATTCAAGTTTGATCTGATATGGTTTGGTAGTTCATTCTATATCTTAGTTGCATTGTATAAGAATGTTCTCTTGCCTTGTACAAACTTCCATTTCTGCTCCATCAAGGTGTTATTTGATTTATTTCTAGTGAACTGAGAGTGGTTATTTATTGTTAGCCAGTGGTAGTAAATCTTAGCCAATTTATTATTTATTCATATTGTTTACCTTCATGTCTGCAATTGATCCCCCATAATTGATCCTTCCTTGATTCTCCACAACAATATCCAAGGTGTCCCCCTTTGATGCTGTTATCGTCAGTCCAGTCGGCTTGTTTCGGACAACAATCCCTACAGGCACCTGTAACCAATCACATTACAGCTAAAAGGCATACGAAAAACAATAAAACAGAAAAAATATAAACAACATTAATAATAATATTAATAATAAAAATAATAATAATAATAATAATAATAATAATAATAATAATAATAATAATAGAATATAGCAACCAAAATATATGCAATTATTGAATTGCTCATATCCGTTTCATACCTGGTTGATGATTATATATCCCCGATCCCGTATCCCTGGTATATCCAACAGCGTTGCCTTGGTAACATTAATTGGAATTTTTGTCCGATACATTATGAATCCGAAACTCTGAAACATATTTGAAATTAATTATACATAAATGTAAAATATAATGCCTTACAGTGTTACATTAGTTTCCAAAGTTTAATAATTTCTCTTAAGAAACAAACTACAGAAGTGTTCGATTATACAATATGAAGAATAAAAAGACAAATCTTGAATCTTATGTATGTAATAATTACTGCCTCACTCAGTCTATACATACTGACAGTCAGAATGTAATACACAGCCGTGTCAATGAGACAATGTGAGGATGAGCTGTCTTTTGGGGTATAAGTATTACTTATACCTCCATGCTTGAATGTAAAGAAATAAGTAACAAAAAGGTAATTAGAACCATACTGAGATGCATTCCAGTAACAGACATACACAAGCATTTCAACAAAAATCCAAACTGACCTGCTGCATCGCTTCCATGGTGATTGGATAATTGGTTCTGATTGGGTCATCGGGGGCTAGCTTATTTAAAACATCATACAGTGAGCCAACTTTGGTCATTGTCGATTTACCATACGCAAGTTTTGGAGTAGCTGGAGGTACTGGAATTGAGGGAACCTTAGCATACTGGAAAGATAGGAAGATAATTGTTGATTAGTACTTATAAACAATTCAGGTTTGTAACAGATACAAGAATGAATAGAAGGATAGACACAAAAACAAAATTCCTTAATTATGTTTAACATTATTAATAATATTAATAATAATAATATTAAATATATTGTTTAATTGTTCTTTATAAAAATATAACAAATAATATGAGACACGACACATTGTCTATATTAGAATACTTCTCATTGGGTAACAAAGTCGTAATTTTTCATTTTTGTTAAAAAGTGTCTATAGTGGTGAATTATGGTTTAGGTTTTTTTTTATTAAAGTTTCAAAAATTTCTATGTATGTGGAAAATGTAGTTGATTACCAAGGGTTACAATTTTTATTTTGAAGACTGCATGGTCTAGGAAGTGTACATTTTTTTATGGGGCAAGTTTCCAAGGGCGGGTTTTCTAGGGGCGAGTTGACTGCCAAAGAGTGTTGCCAAAGTGCGAGCCAGCGTGTTATTTGATCTCAAGTGCGAGACATCACAAGTGTGAGCCAGCGAGCCATGACGTCACAACAATAGATACGAGACGTTAACGAGTTGTGCGAGGTATCGGCTGAGATTTGTGGAGTACAATTCAAAAAACAACTATAGGTCTAATAATGAATTATTGTGATGTTAAATAGACAATGTTAGCTATCAAAGATCAACGTTGTTTTTCATTGGGACCTTCGTCCCTTCAAGGCTAGGCCTATACCATCCTAGCTAGTCTAGGCCTAGAGTAGGATAAGGCTAGCACGACATGCGGACGTTGGTACGTGTTGGTTAGTCTACAAACGTCGTAAAGGAATTGATTTTACTCGGCAGAACGAAAGAAGGGAACTCCGCTTTTCAGTCGTCTTAGGCCCTTGTTTTTTGACAAACAATGACCTTTCAGAGGTCAAATTGCTGTCAAGAATATGAATTGGCTGCTTTGCAGCAATAATGGCTTTAGATTACAATACATAATCAAAAAATAAAAAATTATTGCACTTTTGCCACTTTTAAATCTGCTGTGAAAAAATATGTTCATTTTGCAGGATTTGAACTCAGGTTTCTGACAATGGAAGGAAAGTGCCTTTACCACTAATGACAAATTCCAGTCTCTACTCATTATAACTGTTGCAGAGTAAAATAAGGAGACATAACAATATTCTTCTGGATTTATATATCGCCTCACGTTGTCACAACCTCGAAGCGCTTAACAACAACATAGAGAAGAACATAAACCATAAACTAATGTACAAATGTACAGTAAATTATTTATCCAATATATTTTTTCGGGTTTAGTTTAGTTTTAGTTTAACAATTAATTTGATGATTATTAATAATTACAATAGTTTTGTAATTGTAACGATTTATTCAATTCAGCCCACACAACAATTCTTAAAGATTCTTTCTATAGATTCTTATCATTTCATAGCCTGCTACTTTCCTTTCCATCCAAAAATCCTTTCATTTCTATTTCCTTCCTATTTCATTGTATGTTATATACCTTCTTGATGACGTCCCTTATAGCCATGAGTTTATCTGTTGGATCCCCAGCCTCAGTGAGAGGGGCGTCATAGTCATAGCTTGTTGGTTGAGGACTGTATGCAGAGTTGGCTCCATTCCAAAATCCAAAGTTAGTTCCGCCCTCAAACATGTACCTGAGGAAACAAAGTTCATCAGATAGAAACGCAAATTTACTCTCAAATGAAAAACAACATTACGAACTGAGAATTCATTTTCCAGTATTGCAAGATTAGTTGATAGTCACTAATTCAAGATTTTATTCTCACTGTCTACTAGCACTGTCTAGACATAAATATGCCTACGCTCTACATCCAATAGTGACGTCAATGAGGACTTAGGAGGGGCGTTATTCCCCCTGTTGGTCAGGTCAAGACCCTCCATCAGCCACAACTCATTTGACCTAAAAAGTTTTTTTTCTTTATTTCTTAGACATAAATACATTCTAAAATAGTACAGCTAGTTTTTGTTTTTAGCTATTTACAGGTGGTATGGTATATCTGTAAAAGTTCATTAAATATATTTATAGTAGTTTCTAAACTTATTTTTCTCTCTATATTTCAAATATATTCTATTATTATCCTGTCTTTAATAATAATCATTTTGTAGTTTGTAAATTTGTTGTTTAATGGTTCACAATTCAGGTTTTTTGCTCATCACAAATGAGTCAATGTAAGTATATTTAGAAGTTCATTAGGTTCATATAGTAGTTTTTATAAAATATTTTTATGTCCATTGATTAGAAATATATTCACCCCTAGCATCAATAACTTTTGTTTTTTATTGTTTTTTTTTTATATCAATTGGCCAAAAGAATCATTTAGGCAGGCTTACATGTTTACCGAAGCTCCCGTGGCGAGGATCTTATCCAGGGAACCTGTGACCCTGTCCTTAGCAACCGTTGAGTGTTTCTGCCCCCAGTGATCAAGCCAACCAGTGTAAAACTCTGAATTAACCTGGAAAAGTAAAAGAAGATTTTATAAAATGTACCTCTAGGCCTCCATATGGATCATCCCTGATCCACATGTAGCCTCCATATGGATTATCCCTGACATCTGAACTTAGTCTCTAACACATAGACTGGATTCCAGTCCCTAAATTTTGTCTTAATCAGTGAAATTTTGGCAACAATTGCATTCCATACTAAATTTTTTCTAGGTTTAACTCACAATTCACAAATTTAAAAACAAAACAAGTTTTTTGACATATACAGACACTGGTGGCGCTCTCCAAAACTATCTAATACTATCAAAATCAATAAATTAAAGACTTGTCTCTATCTTGCATATATTTTTCTAAAATCAATTAGTTGAAATGAGGTACTATTATAAACAAAATTCACTTACCAATGGGCCCTTGGGTTCAAATTTTCTCTGATAGTTAAATGGACCAGAGGGATCTATACCTGAAAGTAATTAAAAAAAAACAACATAGCAGTAGAGACATAATATGAAGCAATGTAATTTATTAGTAATACCAATATTTTGAACACAAGCTGTGTGTTGGTCTCATGGTTCAGTTGGTAAGTACTTCGGTTCAAATCCTAATTTGTTTCTTATATAACTTTCTTGGATTCCATAATTGATGTATGATTAAGTACCTGAACCAAAGTCCACAGTTGTATACAGGCCCTGCAGTGTCCCACACTCTAGCATGTGCTGCCCAGGTCCATCTGTTGTGAAGAGGACAACTGCATCGGCACCAAGGGCTTCTTCAAAGGTATTTTTCAAGTGCCTGATGTAGTCATGATCACAGGCAGAGTAGCTACCATACTCATTCTCAACCTGCAATAAAACAAAATCATAATGATAAAAATTATTATAACTATAATATTTCATAAGTTTATACCATTTTGTTCAAATTTGGTGGGTGGTATTAATGCTGCAGAATAATTATAAAAAGAGGCCTTTAGCAAACCTTAGACAATGACATGAGAGAGGGAAGATTCAATCTTGTCAGTGCCTCACCAAGTGATCTGGTCATGATCCAACAAATTCTCTTTTATTATGACTTTAATATGTTACATGCAAGTCCAGAGTTACATACATCAACATACTCTTGTAATCTTGTTTGAAATAGACAGTAATTGCATCGCAGCCATTGTACTCACTTGTACACTTATAATTGGGCCTCCATTAGAGTACAGAAGGGGCTTGATCTTAGGAAGCAGGACACCCATCCATCTGTCAACAGCTTGGATATAAGCTGAGAAATATAATTGGTTATTATGAATAGAATTAAAATTTTTAATAGCAAATTTAAAAGTCGACACAAAAAATTATAGAAATGATACAGTATTATTTATTCATCTGTTAATAAGTGAGAACAAAATGTTTTCATTCTAATTTTCAATTAAAAGCTATAATAAACAGTTTGTTTTTAAAGTTTGTTAAATACTGACAATATGTTTAAGTGACTAACTGAACGTAAGACAAAACTATAATAGATACATTCTCTGTGGTCTTTCTTTATATAAATAAAAACATCTTTAAACTTTTATCAAACATTCATTTTGTCAATATTTGAAACAAATGTTTAATATTTCACATACTTGACAGGCAGTCTCTAGAGTCTGAAGCACTCACAATTTCCGTTCTGCACTTCCTCATTGAGCTTTTTATATTATTATTATTATATTGAAACTCACTTAACTGCCATTTTAAACTACAGCAATTAATACAAATTGAATGAACACTACACTATATGATTTTTTAGTAGGCCTTTAATATTAGAAAAAGAAAATTATCACAGGGGTCCCAAGTTGAAAGAAGTAATTTCTGTTTGATCTGTTTAAACGAGATTCCTTAGCACATCTAATGGGTTATTTTCAGGGCAATTCTTGTCTAGCTGTGGGAGTGCGGGAGGCCGTCCAGATTTTTTGGAGACCCAATGACTTTTGGAAACTTGTGACCCCTGTTATGTTATCACTTAGGTCGTGTTTGGAAGCAGCACTTCCAATTTCTCTGTTAACTTTTTATAATCTTAAAATTCCCTCCACATATTTTATCCCATCATGCAATATCATGGACAACAATGCAATGTGTTTAACACCAAAACATCCATTTTGTTGACATAGCAGGCGAGAGATGAATAGGACTAGGTAACGAAATAGTACGGTACTATTTCGGTTTGAGAAATGTACTGTTGCAATGATGTTTCATTGTACTTTTATATAGGGATTAAGAAGAATATGAAAAAGAATGCTAACTTTGTTTGGCGTACTTTAATTACGGTACAATAAACGATAGGTAGCGATGGACAATGCCCAGCCAGAAAATGTTGACATCGAGCACTGCCTTTTCAGGCTTTTTTTATATTTAATAAGCATGAAAAAATTTATTATGAAGTGTTTGATACTAGGCCTAGGTAGGCCTGTAAGTCTACTAACTACTAGTTGCCTTAGAAACTAACTACCCAAAAGAATTCTTTGCATGGCCGTGATTTGACATCAGTCAAAGGTTATTATTTTCGCATTTAGAGCTTTTAAAAGCTTATCGGAATCATTGGGCCCAGCTTCCGCAGCGAAAAAATAACAAAATGCACGCTTTCTGATAATTGAAAACAAATGAATTTTGGGAAAACGCAGAACGTTTTACAATTGTGATAATTTATTGGATAATAAGTACTGCAGAAACACAGCCTTACTGCAAAAGCTTCTGCAAGAAAAACTTTTTGCTGTAATTTAATGTGGATGTAACCTTAATTAAGAGATGAAAACATTGTCATCTTCATGTTAAACTGTCATAATATTTGGCAAACACAGCTTCTTAATAATTTCAGAGAAAACCAAAACAAGATTGAAGTGACAAGATTAATCCAAGGTTAATTGACAGAAAATTGAGTACTTTGGAACTATATAATTAATATTATTAATATTTATTACCTTTCAGGGAAGTTCATAAACATATGGAGAGCATTTGTGGCTTGGCAGGCAGTGTGTTCATTGTTACCCATTTTTCTTACAAAAGAGTGGCAGTGTGACAAAAACAACTACACTTCACAAACCTTAAACAAATTTGATTTAACAAGGGTTCTTATAGATCTGATCCCACTCCTTAGTCCCTTATAACCTGGAAAAAACTAGTTCCCTTGACTCAGAAAAGGAGAGGTCTGGAGTTCATTCATATTTCTACACTCCATATATCTGTATTGAAACTCAAGGAAAGCAAAAGTATAATAGACATATCGAACAGTAAAAATAGGATACTGATTGTTGCTGTTTGCTGGCACATTACCTTCATCCATTGTCCTTAGTCCGATGACACCATCTTTCAGCAGCCATGACGGCAATCCTCCCTGTAAACACACAAACCATATGACTGCATCACTATGCAATGTTAAATAAAAATAGACAAATACTTGAGAAAATGCCAGCTTTGAGAGTGGTACATCCTCATTATCTATCATCATCATATTATCATTTGAGACAATGCCAGCTTTGAGACACACGATACATTAATATCATTACCAGGTTATAATTTTAATCATTTCCAGATCCAGGAATTTGAAATAAATGGGGCACAGGGAGGGACTTTCACAGATGGAGGGTGTACACCTTGGTTGGGGCTGAGGTAAGAAAATTTATGATATAGCAACTCTAGTTGGCCGGAAATGGCATTCTCCAACTTAAATTTTAATACAGTATAATTTTCTTTTTTTCTCCTTCTTTTTATAATTATCAAATATTTAGTTTGTGTGGGGGGGGGGGGCAGGGCAGCTTTATATTTTTAAATATTTGTAAATGAGTTTGTTTTTTTTATTAGTAAGCATTTATGTGTCTTTAAACTGACATTTACAGCCTGCGGGCTGCATGTTGTGTATTTTTTTTATACTGAATAAGAATGTCTATGGACTTCTCATACTGTATCACTACCATTATTACAGATTTCTTACCATGTCCCATTCAGCGCAGATGTATGGGCCAGGACGCAGAATGACGAGTAAACCAGTTTCATTTGCTTTCTGAAGAAACGCTACAAGATCTGCATTGTCCTCAAAGGTATACCTCCCTGGTGATCTCTCATGGAAGTTCCATGGTACATATCTACAAAGAAACAAAATAAGAAGAGAGTGTGGATGAATATTTATTCAAATTAGCAAGTACTAGACTTACTTTAAGATTTCAAGATTCTTTATTGCTAAAAATGTCATTGTGGGCCCTGGAGATCTGTCATGGAAGTTCCATGGTACATATCTACAAAGAAAAAAAGTAAGAAGAGATTGTGGATGAATATTTATTCAAATTAGCAAGTACTAGACTGTACTCTAAGTTTTCAAGATTCTTTATTGTTAAAAAATGTCATTGTGGGCCATTATTCTTTTCATGAATAAAACAAAACTAAATAAACAAAATAAATTCAAATTATTAATATTAATTTTTTTAACTATCATAACTAAGGCAGGGTAGGGATTTTTTTAAAGAAGGCTTAATACCTGTTTAACATGGGATGTTGAAAAAATTCAGAAGATAAGCATTAACAAGATTTGGGAGGTTTAGCACAAAAGGGAACAAATGATGAAGAAAAATGAAAAGTGCATCAACACATTCTTTGAAATTCAGCGTGTCGTGAGAGTGTCAGAGACACATTGAACACTGATGCCATACTGTGAGTACAAAAATAATATTCTCATTGTAAGCTATTGCTTGTCTTCCTCTAAATTAGTTATTATCATTGATATGACAGCGCCAGCTTTATCATAACCCTACAATGGTTGTAGTTATAGGAAGAATTTAATCACCAACACATCTGCTCAAAAAAATACAGGGAATTGTATCATATAATTCGGAACAGATGAGTCACTGTTTCACATGTTCGAACAATTGTAAGATTACTGTAATGAATCATCATTTGAACAAGCATACAACCCTACATTTAAAAACTTTTTCTATAAACCGATGAACAACAGTTTGAGAAGATTAGCTAGTAGTGAAAGGAGAAAGAAAGGTTCAGCAGGGAGTAGTAAAGCTACTAGAGGGCTTGATGGATGGCCACCTCACAAAATGTTCCACCTCTACAGGCAACGCCCACCCCTGGAAAATTTACTGGGCTTGTGTCCTCACTATCCCACTGCACCCAACCACCTGTCCGTCAAAGTATAATGCAATGTGTGGGATGCTTGGAATCCTAAAATCTGAAGTTTCACCACCAAAAAGGCATCAAAATTACTCCCTATAAATAAGATAATTTTTTGGCACTTTTTTTTTAAATGTTATGAAAGGTATATTTTTTACCAAAAATTCTGCTTATTATATTTTGCTTTTAAAATCTATCAGTTATAACCAATATCTTGAGTAACCTTTAGCTTTGTAAAAACAATATACATTCCAAATTATTTTCTCCACCAGGTGCTTGTTCAGATAATTGTGTAGGCCCCAATACTGTACTGCACAAATCAGATTATGTGTAATACTTCAGTAGAATTCCAACAGTGCACAGTACACCTGTCTTGAGGAGGCAGATGTCTGAAAATGTATATCTTTTAGGTTGTTATTTTGAATATTTACCTTTATATCTTTTGTTGTCTACAGTAGCTAGTGTTATACGATAGTGTATTTCTTGGCAAACAATTGGATTTGTCTGAAAGCAAACATCCACCTTAATATAGATTTGCTGAATGTTATTTCTTAAGACTTTTCAAGGACAAAATATAAAGTTGAATGGCTTTCATCATATACCCCATGACTTCTGACTTTTTAAGGCCCAAACCAGTCTTTTATCTGGATTTTCAAGTACTAAGTAGAACATTTATCGAGCTTCACATTATTTTTCAAGCACAAGATATTAAATACCATGGCTGTTACATAAATTTCTAAAAACGAAATTACCAAATTCGTTGATTTTTTATCAATTTACTTGACTTTTCCTATACCTTTTTAAAAGGCAAATATAAAACTCCAACACTAATATCAAATTCTAAGGGTTTTATGTAGGATGCTTATTCAATTTATCAAATTCTATGACTTTTCAAATATCAAATCTTAAATTTCATAGCTTTTATCTAATTTCTATAAATATTCCCATAACTTTTCAAGGACCAATATACTAAATTTCATGACTTATATTTATAATATTTCCTCACTTCTCCTTGACTTTTTTTTTAGGGCTAGTTCCAAATGGTGCACTATACCAAAGAGCTATTGACCTTGTACAGTTACCAATAGCTGAGCAAGAGAGGTTCCAGTTAAGTTTGCCAAACCCTCCCTTCTGGCTACAGGCCACGTTATGCCAAATTTTAAATCCTCAATTAAAGTTTTATTGCTTTCTACTGCCTGTACTTGAAAATCTTGTAGTGCAATTTAAACAATTTTCATAATATAAACTAGGCTAGATTGTTAAGTTGGATAATCTTACTATGAGCTAATTCTTAGTAACCCACGAAACTGCAAGACAACTGCACTTCTTTCATTTCGCAGAAAACCTAAAATTAAAGTCACTCGTGATCTCACAAAATTTTTGACTAAAATTTGTATTGCACGTCATTGCCATAAATAAATTTTCTATCCTAAAAAGTAAATACAGAATGGTTTTAAATAAATTCCAAATAAAATTCAATTAAAAGAAGGCTTCCTCCTCTTTCTCTTGATCATTTAGAATTGCCAAGTACTACCAATTATTTATTGTTAAGTAGATCATATTAACAGTATGTCATTGGTCAAAGTCTATTCAAAACATTTTCATTTTTATCACAGTAAATGAAACAGGCATTTTGTATCTCTCCTTAAAAGAACGACCTCATGTTTAGCTCAAAGTTGAAAATAAATTTAATAGTTCCTGTTTTTTTCACAGATGAATAGAAAAAATGACAATGTAATTTTATTCCGCTCAATTCACAGGAAGGATGCATCTCGCCCGATAAGTAGAAATCAATCATCAACATCACTGGCCCCAATACTAGGGTACAGTTCATTTTGCTTGAAACATTGATATTAAAATGAAACAAGCACAGTAGCACTTTTGTTTAGATTAATAAAATTGATTTAGACAACTTTTGATGAAGCCAGCTCAAGCATGTGTCACAATAAATTTTCATTTGTATTTCACTTTAATGCTACTGACTAATACTGTTCCAAATTTTATTATCTTATATTAACACATTAACAGTTAAAAGTTAATCAATACTAATATCAATAAAAAAGATAGGTTTCACTGTGTGACTTAAGAAAACAATGAAGTAAACTTCAACACATACCAGTAATAATATTTAAATAATAAAAAAAACTTTAATGTTCTCTCTTTATAAGTCAGAAGAAAGGAAGATACTTCCAGAATAATCTAAAATTACCTAAAATTTGTATTATTAAAATTATTTTGCTAGCCCTGGTAGCTATATTACTATCTTTTTAAAAAGCTTACATTAATAGATAACTGTTAAAGCAGTTTATGGTAATGGCCAGTGGCATAATGATGGGGTCGGGGGCCCTGTGTATTTCTGAAACTGGGGGCCCTTTTTGGGCCCCGGTCACCAATTCCATCGTGGGATTTTAGGTGCATTGTTATTCTAAATGTTTTTAACAACGAATAAATGATATAATGGATTCAGAAAATTGAGGCCAGGGAGGGACTTTCAGGGTTGAGTCTATACCACCTCAGACCCCACCATGGTTGGGGCTGAGGTAAGAAAATTTATGAATATGGCACCTTTAGATGGCCGGAAATGGCACTTCACAGACATAAAATTGTGAATATATTTTTTTTATCTCCAGTTCCGGGCCGGCAGCTCCAGGCCGACAACTCCCCACTCCCCCCCCCCCACACACCCCCACCNNACACACCCTCACTCTTTATTCCGCCACTGGATATAATATATGTCCTACAGTCGATTTCAGACACACATTTTGCTGTTGCCCTTGTGGGGCTGAGAAAAGAAAATGTATTATTATGGCACGTCTAGATGGCCAGAAATGGCACTCACCACCTTAAAATTGTGCATAGGCCTATAATTTTCTTTTTATCTCCATTTTTTATTTATTGTTTGACAACTTTTATTTCTTTTTTGACAAATTTGGTTAGGTCCCAGCCGAGAGGCTCCCCTCTCTTTAATCGTTATAATATGATATATGCCCTACAGTCGATTTCAGAGACACATTATGGTGTTATTTATCAACAAAGTCCTTTTTGGTCAGGGTGCTAGATCGAAGAACCTATAAGCAAGGCCCCCTTGGGGCCCCTAGAATTCGGGGGCCCTGCGGACCGCCACACGAGAGCGCCACTGGTAATTGCTATAGACTTGTATAGCGCATAATACTAGGTCTCTATGCGCCTTTCAACAAATGTTCAAAAGAAGTTGAATAAAAGAAATATAATAAGAAGAGACAAAAAAAAAAAAAGAACAAAAAAAACCACCAACAAAAAATAAAACCAATTTTGAGAAAAGATGAGTTTTGAGCCCTTAAATAAAGAAATGGATGGCAATTCCCATATATTTTGGGGAGAGAGTTCCAGAATTTTGGAGCAGTGAACATTGTATGAAAAAAGGGCATTTAAAGAGCATTCAGGGTTCTTCCATGTGTGAAACCCACCCTCCGCCAAAGATTATACTGTACCAATAATGAAATAGTGAATTTTGAGGTCATCACCCTCCACCGGTAATCCTTTAATTCAATTCTCAGAAAATCCCTACACTTTACCAGCACTTCCTTTCTTTTCTGAATGGCATGTTTTAAGGTCTTGCGTCTATAAGATCTCAATAGAAAGCAAAAAACTAAATTCTGAATTGACAGTTATGCCTGCTCTAATAATATTCAAATCTAGCACCCACATTGATCATAACCCTGGATGCTCCTGCAGTCTTTGTGTCATTTACATAATTGATTTTCAATATCACATGATGAAGCAGGCTAACAAACAACATATAGTGTTCAACAGTGTGTTATCTGCTTTCAGTATATTGAATTATAAACTTCAAAGTCATCTTAATTATGTTTACAGACATTGGATAAAACACAGACTTTAGTACAGCCCCAGACTCTATTTAATTCACAGTGTACGCAATCAACTGTATTCTGGCAGACATTCAATGCTATCCTCTTTTATTCAAACATTCCGGAATGACAGAAAAAATTATGCTCAAGTCAAGTCAACTAAGGGCCCGTTCAAGCGAAAAAATATCCGTGCGATTTACCAGTTAATTCACCGGTACACACTTTTTAAAACCGCTCGGACACTAGTCTAATCACCTTTTCATCTGGATTATCTGCGACAATTTTGACCACCAAATTGCTGGGTAGAATACCGTGTATGGAATAACCATGGAGCCGGAGGCGATGATAAATCAACCTTAATTGTTTTTCCAAAAGTTTTGCCCACAAACTAGCGCCAAATTCAATAGGTTTAACGGCCCAGGCGTGGTTGCAGCTCTCCTTCGTCTCCTCACAAATGCACGACGAAGTCTAAATTTAGTAGCATATAGCTAAGCTACGCGATTGATTTGTAGATTTACCATTATTCGGAGAAATAAACTTGAATAAACTAACCTACGTACAGATTTTAAAGCAGCCAATATAAATTATTGAGCTACATTATCGTGCCACCGTGCCGCGCTGTGTGTACGTGGGTCGGTTATAGCAGCAGTAGCAAGTAAACAAAGAATGGGTTGTTGACCATGGGATAAGTTGAAATTTTCTTCCGGAGTAGTTTCGTTACACGTATTTACCGTGAGCTAAAACTTGCTCAAACGGTCGACCACCCGCTGAGTGCTCAGCGCTATTACCCGGTGAAATAAACGAAATATGGTTGGCGTTTTTGGCTCAAACGGGCCCTATGAGACATTATTTAATTTAATTCAATTCTTTACTGTATAGCTGTTACACGTACAGCAAAACTGTCAATATTGTTTTGTTCTGTCCAACATAAACAATAGATGTGAAGGTAATTATTATATAGTCAAAACCAGACCATCCATCATACAACACAACACTGTCATCAAAAATATGAATTCCTGATTCAAATAAATATTGTGATTGCCTAATATATTAGGTCTAAAAGCACAATTTTTGGCCATCCTAATTATATGCATTCAATCTCTCCCACGAACCCCACCACAGATTTTATTCTGGTACCCTGATCGAGGCTCTACATAGCTCCTTGGTTCTGACACCGTCTGTCTTGTTAGACACCCTGTCAACTGTAAAGACATTAGCTGCAGTACATTGTTGAAGCATAACCACAACAGAATTAAACAGATAAATTTTCATAAACTACTGTATCAGTTTTGGCAATGTTTGTTATATTCATGAACAGAAACTATAACCACAGAGTTGCACTTCTATAACCTAAAAAAAGTTCAGAATACGTGTGACCTAATATGGTGAATTTACCCAATAGTTAATCCATTCCTGATGCTGAGCCATGGCCAAATATATATATATATATATATATATATATATATCTACTGTAATAAAATGGGATAAAGTACTAGGAAAACAACACATCTCAGTCTCCCTCTTGGGAGTGTTATATTTTGTTTAGTTGTTTTCCATTTTAAAACGCAGGTTTTTGTGGGATTGAATGAGACTTTGTGAAGTAGCCAGTAGCATCTGTTTCATATAAAATATTCTGATAAAGACCATTACATGTTTTTTTTTTCTAATGAAACGCTTTATAGCATGTTGCTACAAACTTCAACAAACATTTGGTAAAATTAACTTTATGAATATGATTAAAGTTTTTATCATAGCTCAGACATAATTTTATTGAGCCTGTGTATAAATCTTCAAATATTATTAACTAAAAACTACTCATAAAAGATCAAGTTATAAACAAACAACAATATATTTAGTTTTATTTTTTTATGTAAAATTGTTTTGGCTACAGTATGTTAAATTGTATGCAAATGTAGTAACAGTATATTTGTGTATGTTTATAAGCTGGCAAACTGTTTTTCTTGTTATAATTATCAATTGGGAGCTACAGTAAATAGTTGTAATTTTTCATACTCACACTTGGATTGCATTCAAGCCAGTGGCATACATTTTCTTGAGACGATCATCCCAGTAACCTCTGGGAACTCTTGCATAGTGGATACTACCAGAGATGTAGCGGAAAGGTTGGCCATCTTTGCTGAAGGAATTACCATCATAATTAACAACAAAAGAATTTGACGTGCACTGTGAAACAGATAGAAATGTTCAGATCATCAAATATTATTAGATTGGTTGATTGACTGAATTTATTCAGTGTGAAAATTACATACATTTACACTATACTTGTTTTGTCAAATGGTGAGAAAGAAAACAAGACACAGACAAAATACTATAAGGATAACCCAAAAAGGTAAAAAGATACCTTATTCCGTAGGGGTCTTTAGACTTAAAGAGGATGAAGACAATATAGTATTTAATATAAATTATCAGCACAAGACATGGGTGGGGGGGGGGGGGGGCGTGGTTTTGATGAGTACCTCTAGATTACAAGAAATGACACTCTTTTATAATAAAATTCATCATCATCGATCAAATTAATCCCTGTGATGTTCCACTGAAAAAAAATAAAGATCAATTGTCTTTGATGTACTTTTAATTTACTTTTCCATGTGCCGAAATTATTATTATTACACGCTTTTTCTCATACCACTCGAATTATAATACTGTAAAGGCACGCGCATTATTATTATAAGTAATTCAGATGTTTGTGGGCAGAGATAGAGTACCGGTTGTACGCACACTTTTGTTAAAACCTACAATAGGTCATTTATGCAGTTCATTTCAACAATTTTCAGGCATCTTCTTGACTTACGAAATTATTACATTGCAGACGAAAAGTGAGGGACCAACCCCCACCCCCTTAACAATATTTTGGGACGTGTCCCCCTGTTCCTCTTTGATCATGGGTTTAAGGAGAGGCATCCCCTTCCATTTGAGATTTTTTGGAATTATTGGATTACATCTGAAAAGATGTTAAGCTTAAAATAGAAAGTGTAAGCCTATGTTTTACGAGAGTAGGCTACTACATGTAACATGTATACATGAGAAGCACACACACGTCAAGACGAGTGAATATTTTTTTTTTCAAGGTTACCGAAGGGAGGTGGCTAGCCACCCTATTCACCCCCCTAGATCCGCCACTGAAAGTAAAAAAACTTGAATTAATTACATACTAGTAATTTAAAAATGCATAAAAATGGTTTAAATTGTATACATAAATAATTTCCAAAAAAAAAGAAAAATATAACAAAAAATATCCAATCAGAATCTGAAAATAAAAGAGCAAACAGGCTAAAAAAGAAAAAACAGCACTGAGTGACTTTATTAAATGTAAAAAGGATAAACTAAAAAATAAGTAACAACATAATTATAGTTAATAATATCAATGCTACATCAACAACAAAGAAATGCATTGAAAACAGACAAAATGAAAATAGCTTACGCCGAGGCAGTAACCCATAATAGGCTGTGTTTATGTTTATGAACCATAACCAGGAAACGAGTTTTGAAACATTGAGCGCTAAAAGTATGCTCGCTCACAGCATATGTAATGGAATGATAATAGTCATTTTTTACATGAAGTCAACGTGAGACCCCCTGTTTCGATTAAAGCCCAGCTTAGAAAAGTTAAACACGGTGACATGCCAGGCCTAGGACTATCAGCCCGGCTTGAGATAAGTCACCTAGTTCAGACTGGCAGGTGGATAAACCAGGTGAGTGAGCCACATAGTCCTAGTCTGAACGTATCCATAAATTCAAGTTTGAAGTATATAAAGTATTAAAATTATCATTTATATTTGATGCGGGAATAAAAAAAATATATATTTTGCCGCATCAATTATTTCAACAGCATAAAAATAACAATGCAATTTTGTGACTTTAAACACATTTTCTTTAAAAAACTATAAAATTAAACCAGTTTTTATACAATATTTACTATTACAGACCAAATATAAACAGTCCCTCCCTCATCGATAAAAACAAAAGCGAAATAATCTATTGTTAGTTTTAAAAAAAAAAAAAAAAAATCTAATAATTTTTTCTATGTGCCCTAATGATACTCAGCCCAGAAATTGGCAAAAAAAGTCTAGCACAATTCGTCACTCATATCACGAACTAACACAAAGTAGATTGTATTAGTTCGTGAAATCACAGTATCGCGTCAAAACGAGTGCATATTGGTTGTCAAGCAATTTTGTATTCTTTACCACACAAAAGTCCTTAAAGTATTTTGACGCGCTTTCTTGATATCATGAACTAACAAAATCTACTTTGATTGTGTTAGTTCGTGATGTGAGTGACGAATTTTGGCCTGTTCATTAGTGAGCTGTTCTGGCTAGCAGACACATGTGTATGTTCATGGTTTAATTAACCAGGGATGGTTATTTATAGCAACTCCCTGGCTTAACCGGGTGGAGTGTTAAATCCTCTAGGCCTCAGCCTAGCTTTGGGGTAGCGGATCATTTCCTTACCGCTTCTTACTGAATTGTAGTCCATCGTACTGCGCCTCAGAGAAATGCTTTGGGATTCGAAGTCAGAAGGTAGCCAATCCTTTCAGTCCCGCTTCGTTTCGGTCGAGCCTCACTTTGGTCGCGCCTCATGTCGGTCGCGTTTATTTCGAACAAATATATGCAGCGCCGAAGGAGTTGCAAAAACGCAAAATTTAATATGCCTAGGCCCTATATATTATTATAATTAGTTCGTCAATTGGTTTATCATAGGCCTAAGTATTTTTGTTATTTCCGTTTTTCTATCTTTCTACTAACATTTTATCTTTCTACTAACATATTCTCTTTCTTCCATTTAAGGTGATATATTCATGATTGAAACATGATCTTATGATTGAAACAATGGAATTTAGTATGTGATTCATGTTATTCTTTTTGTTGCGTTTTCATATACTATACTTTAATAATTATGGTCAATAAAATGTATCTTTGATTTTAATTGAATTGAATGTTGTTACTATCTGAAATCTATTTCATAATTTAGTTAAAACAATAATCATTACAATATTTAATCTGATATTTTTATACTATAAATTTATTTTTCTTGCAGCTTCCAGAGTTTGGATAAAACATACCAAGAGAATTTGAAGGAAACACAATTAAAGAAATAAACAAATAATACACACATTATTATTCTTTACTTGAAATCTTTAATTTTCTTTGATACCCCTGCGCAGTTCATAAATATGAATATATATTTATATGATTTAATAAGCACATAGGATATACATAGAAAGAACTCTATATATATATATATATTTATGTATATATATATATATATATACTTTATATACGCCTATATACACATATATATTTATACATATATATATATATACATATATAATAATATTATATATAATTTATACATATTTATTTACATTACACATGAAATCATATAACAAATATATATTTTACTATCCATTTATTTTTGTACTTCTAAACATGATCATCATCCAGCGCAGATGATTCAAAGTTACTGGTTTCATGAAGTAGGTGAACACACGTGAAGTGGTGAACTGAACTCCAGCGCACGTGTTTGTGCCTAGAAAAAGCTAGTCGTCTATTTTAGCATCTGACCTACTTCTCTCTTTGCAGTAATGTATCAAAAATGGAAATAAAACAAAGAAATAATCACAAACTTTGAGTCAGCTTCACCTTAAGTGTACCATGGGAATCAATTTGTGGTTAACGTTTCTTTCCACAATTATACTCCAGTTATGCAACTAAAGAAATAGGCCTAGCAAGTTGAGTGATTTTCTCGGGCTTACGAATATAAAAGAAGCATGAAACGGCTTTTAAAATATACAGCATGCAATTATAAACGTATTGATAATTTTATATGGAAAATATAAATATGAAAATACATATTTCCTTTACAATATTATTATAAACATGATCAGAACATTTATGGTAAATGGAAACATAACAGACAAGAAAAAAAAAACGTATGCGAAACTAGTTTATTGACTATACTTATTCCATAAATCTTTATTTGATTCAAGCATTAATAATAAAAATTATATCAATATATATATCGCAACAAACAATAAAAAAGGTATCTCAAACTTGGTCAACTTCGTTTAAACATCTGCGTTGTTTCTGTAAAAAAAGAAAAATAGCACCAAGTGATACAGTAATAGTAACTATTATAAATTTAATACTAATAAAAATAATTGTTAATAAATGTTACAGTAATTTAAATAACGAGTTGGCTGGTTTTTCCTGATAAAAAGTTTGATTTTTATAAATAATATCATATCAAAAAACAATACCATACTAAGAGAAATACCAAAATTTTAGTATTCATTTTATTTGCTGTATTTGTTATGTAGTACTGTAGGAAGTGTAGGATCGATAACAAAATGAAAATAAAAACCGTCAGATAAAAGAGTAAAATGGTACTAGGAATACAACAAACTAACGGTCTATAAGCTAAATACCATAATAATAATTGAAATTTAGTTTAGAAATAATAGCATTCATTTTATTTGCTTTTAAGTAGCCTATGTTGTTACTTAAAGTAGTAGAAAGACAACAAAACATAAACTTAAAAAAAGTATGATAAAGCGATTGACGAACTTAAATTGATAATTAGGCCCAGTTATATTAAATTTAGCGTTTTCGCAACTCCATTGGCGCTCCATATATTTGTTGAAAACAAACCGCGACCACCGAAATGAAGCGAGACCGAAGTGAAGCGTGACCGAAACGAAGCGCGACCGAAATGATCTGTATTCAGGAAGGAATGTCAGTCTACCCAGCCAGGGCCTAGCCTAGCTTATTAAAAAGTTAAGTAGCCTAGGCCCTATATATTTTCATTTTGCATTAGCTCAGCGATTATCAAATTAAACATGTTGAAATAATATACCTTGTCAACAAGTAGAACAAGTAAAACGATGGTTAATAACATCTTCATTTTGGAGTTTTTTGTCTGTGTGTTTGTTTGTTGCGCGTCCTCTCTGGTCACCTGATCCCTGTGACAGGTCATGTGATCACCATGCATTTTCGTTTGCATCTGACCAATCAGCATCGCCAAAAACTGTCGTCTATCATGTACCCTTCTAGAGCCTCGTTTATTTTTCCGCGAATAAACTCCTCGCCCTCCATCCTACAAATCTAATGGAAGCATCATTCTCAACACATTTTATTAATATTTTACGTCAGTAGAGTTAATTTTTCTAATGTGGTTGCAATGGGACGGAGGGCGTTGGGATCAACATAAGTCTTTATGTTCAACAACACATTTTGGCCCTATCTATAATTATGTGAGTTCCACATTTACAGTGAAGTCTTTATTTGAATACATAGGCCTATACGTATCCATTTTACTACACCCAAAAAATATATACGCCTCCATGGCCCTCGAATAAACTCTTCCTTATTAAAAACCCCTCTCAACAATTAACCCCCCGGCCGGGGCAGTTATTCGAATACATACGATCCATTGTTTTTAATTTTACATCATTTTACTGTAATCTTGGACGCTCCATATAGTGTGTGCCATTGTCTAAAAAGTGAGTTCCGAATAAATCTGAAACTCCTAAAACTTATTTTTGTAGATCCAATTTTAGATAGAAAAATAACCTCGAAAATAACATTAGCGTTACATTTGGAAGAACCTTCTCTATGTTAATTGCTCTTTGGTTTGTTATAAAAATAAATTGTTTTAACAGAAAACAAAGGTTCAGAAACAGATTACAAATGTTAACACGGCTAGTATTTTAGGTGGTCTTGTGAATTAGGAACAAAGCTAAATTCCCAACTGTATTGAGTTGATTCGTCCGGGGACAGAGGAAACCAACATGAATATCGTCATCATAATAATTAGAAATTAGAGTGTCTAGACGTCGTCACGTGATTACTTTCAATAGTGTCATTAGCAACTTTGAAAATAATATCGATTTCACTCTTTGTTCTCTTAAAATTTGGAAAAAACAAATACTACATTGACATTGTTGTTTAAAGGTAACATCGATCTCGGTATGATCAGTTTATGGAAGACAAAAATAATTCTGGATTATTTAAATAATTAGGCCTAACTTGAGAAAAGGTATTTTATAGTATGATAATTGGTAATGATTTAGGCCTACAGTTTGAAATTTCTTTACTGTTTCTGCCTGACGAGGTGGGAGCTGGGTGGGGTAGTTAGTGTGGAAATAAATTTCAATTCCAATGAAAAATTAGGACTATAGTTAGGGCTATGGTCATTTTATTATTATAACCCAATTAGTGGAACTAGTAATTCGTCGCCGTGGGGTGTGGGTCAGTGGTGGCGTTAGCGGGGGCAGGGGAATTTTCCCCTCCGTCGGAAAGTCTTGGACCCCCTGTCGTCCGAATCACGACTTGATCGTCAGACCAAAAATTTAAAAAAAATAATAATACTAATTTGCCTATCCAAATAGCGTTATTTTGACTGTCAATTCCTAATATTAGTTTTAGAACACCACATGTTATGACATTGGTAAGGTTTCACCTTGAAAAAGGAACAGTGGCGGTGCTTCGGTGGAGGGGGTGGGGTGCTGTACTCGTACAGTCCTCCTCTGGGTCAGGGGAAAAAACTACTATTTCTCGGGAAAGAAAAAAAATCATGTATTTTTTACGTATCAGTAGAACCTAAAAATCGATTAAATATGCCTTTGAAACCATGGAATTGTCATATTTTTTATGGGATTTGCACTCTGGATCACTTTCGAAAGATTTTGAGCGGCGTCTGGCCACTCCCACTTTTCTCTCGTCGGGGCATCAGACCCGGAGGTGTCCCCCCCCCCCCCATCACCACGTCGGGCAAATCCTGGTGCCACTCCTGTTAAGAAAGATTTTTTAAATCAGATTAGATTCATATTATATTTTTTGTATTTATATATTTATCCGGTTGCCGAGTCACCCATCCCAATACTCGAAGGCCCATTGTTGGTTAATATTTCTAAAAATAATATTTCAAAGTGAAAGAGAAATGTACTACTAATTATGAAGTCTGAGTGAGAGCAGACGGAGAACACTGTGGATATAACAGGTGTACTCGTATGTCACAATTTAGAATAACACACTGTTATAAATTTATAATTTCATAAACTTGAAGAATATAAGATGACAGATGGCATAATGCTGCACCATAAGTATTATTTTCTTCTTTTAATTTACCAATTATTATTGACGCAATATGTCAATTATGGTTTAGGGAGGGGAGTATGCGTTCACTCCCTACCACATGCGGACCATTAGGATGGTGGTATCTGGTGGTATGCAAGCTACTGGGCCTTAGCGGAGTAATGTTCAATACTTCATACGGGATGTTCAAGTTTGAATTATCATAATTTTTCACTTTCTGGTTTTTTTTTACGATTCTTTTATTATTTTATGTTATTTACATTTTCAGACCAGGAATAGCAAAATGAATGTAGACATAAATAATAAATTAATATAATAAACGCTGAATGTCACAGTTTTATTCATGTCTTATGATAAATACTTGTATATCACATGGAAAACTGGCATAATAAGCCTATTGAATAAATTTTGTGAACGACATTGAAAGTCAACGTAAGTATTACATGTTGACAATTCACCATATATAAAATATATACATACAAATACGCACTGTATATATATATATACATATATATATATATATATATATAAATCATCAGAGAAAGGTAAATACAGTGTTCGAATTATATA